TAGGTAGCCAAAATGACTTATTTTTAGGGTTAAGTAGGGGCTTGCCCAAAGTAGACCATATACGCCTTTGGACCTTTTCAAGATGTTCATAACGGTTGAATGCACGGCGAATTCCAGAGCCAGGGCGATCTGCACGCTGCAGACGTGCGAAATAGAGGGAAGATTTGGCCCCTATGGTTTTCCCCCGTCTATCGATTTGGAGTGAATGATCGATATCGTTTCAGTGATTGATGAACAATGGGGCAAGTGGAAAGCGGCTATCGAAGAGGATGGTTTTTTGAGCGATAGTGCCGCTGCTCGTTTGCAGAGGAGCGACCAGAAATCGACTTGCAGCAGCTACTGCAGACGGTGATACCGCAGACGATGAAGAGGCCAGCTCAGAAGGCTCTGCTCCTTCAATTTCAAGCGTCACTGAGTCATCTCAATATGTAAAAGCCTTTTCCACCAGGGACCTCTCCGATAAAACGGACCAAAAACTTTTCCACTGACTTTAGAAGCAGTGAATATCTACGTATTGGAAAAGTTGGAATAGGAGTAGTGACTTGAATATTCCTACTCTCACTTAAAATGTTAGATATGTAAAATATATGAAACTCGATGTAAAAGAAGTCACAGCAGGAGAACAAGTTTCAAATACTTCTGCGATGCTGAATGGGAGGAAGCGCACGGCGCCTCCACAAGAGATCGATCGATGACGAGCACGGTACTTTGGTTGGCTGAACTGCTCTAGCATGGGAAGAGGGAGGCAACATTTTACATTAACGATTTTGTTGAACGGAGATGGCGTTGCTGATAGGCTGATTAAATGTCCGCTTTACAAGTTAACCACATACCAATTCAAGTAGCTGCGATTTTCGAGAGTAGTTGAATGCATGGCACAATCCCCAAAGACCTTAGTCGGCAGATTGTAACAGTTCATTAGACAGTTCACTATATCATCCTTCAAAGTAATAGTATGACTAATTTGAAGACGATAGATTTTGCTTCACGGACGAGTTTATTTCAGCATTTCCAATCGATTTCGAAGTTGCACTAAATATTTGTTGCTAGGCACTGATGATGACCGACCAAATTTTCCCGTTCAGTAGGCATCTGAAGATGATATTACTTTTCTCCTCAGTAATACCACAGACCCCGAAATGCTTGAGCTGGTACCCTGAGTTTTAGCCCACCATCGTGAAAACCTTAAACTGATCTAGTAAGCGGTTGCCTTTCCTTGGGTAAGTTCGGCTTTTTAGATTATGTGACGATAGCGTCTGAGAAGTGGGTTCGATTACTATGATCCTCAAAGAAAGAGAACACGGAGAGTCTTTAGCAAAGCTAGAGATTTCCACGTGTACAACCAGTTACCCCCTTTTTTTATCGATTTTCTCGGGCAGGAATCAATATCGTATACATTCCTTCTCAACGCTGAACCGAGTAGTACAGTGGACCAGTCTGAGGTGGAACAATCTGAGCGAAGTGGGCTTACCCACATAAGTGAAGAATCTTCCTGAAACCGATAACCCTGGTATTTAGTCAGGGAAAGCATCGAATCGAGGCGTATAGTCTGACTGTCCCCACATAATCTTCCAGGTTACCCGATCTTCAATTTTTCAACAAACATGAAACACCCTTATTTCCTCATTCATGTTCCCACGAAAAGCAAAACTTCGATTGTCGGCCTCCTCTGGAACAGTTTTTTCATTGTTAATTCGATATTTCCAGAGCAGCCCATGAGACTTCCTTGTTCCTGCTGAGGCCCCGGGCTAAGCCATCAACCGTATTCATTTTTCGATGCCTATGCCTACATAGAGATCAAGTACCCAGGGATATTTACTCAGCGAAGAACGAACCGTACCGATCTTCGTGAAAATCGGTTTTGTTAGGGCCAGAAGAAGATGCCTTTACTAGGGAATCGGAAACGATGAGCTCAGTGTCGTAAGCGATTTGTTGTCAGCGACCCTGTGGTTAACAGTTGCCTGTTGTGGAGCTTGACATATACGTTTTCCCTGTTTCAGTAACCTTTTATGGACGGTTCTGAAAGCTCAGGCAAAAGTTGGAGAGGAAGAAAAGCCATTTTCTTCATGTGGATGATGTGGCTTTCTCGTGGAATGACGAATTTATTGTCATAAACTTGGTTATGCACTGAGTATTGAATAGACTATGACATAACGTACTACCAGCAGTTGAAGACAGCCTGTGTGAAGAACATAGGCATAATAATAGATATAAGCTCGTTATCTGGCCAGAATGGAATTACTCTGTGACAAAGATAACAGTAATAAACTGTTTAAAAGTCGTCGGGGTCCGTTTCCGTTTTACGGAATCGACGGTTCATTAGTAGACCTGCAGAGTGATCCATGCATTGTATCAGCCGTTTCATAAATATTGTGGGCTAAAAAAGGTTCCACCTGACCTATTTACAGACCCTCTCACAGAATAGTAAGTAACTAGTATCTTCCTTTCTTAAAAAAAAAATCAACCCTGCTGCTTCTTATCACAACTGTGGTTTGAAACCATAATCCTTGCTCTTTCGAGTTATGTCGGATTGTCGGGACCAATAACTCCAACTGGTTTCCCAAACGGAATCGGCTCAATTTTGATCAGCTAAGAGTTGTACAGTAACATCTACCGAACTATGTTTGCTACTAGTTGTGGTTTATGAACTCTGTAAGTTGACTGTTTCATTTCGATTCACATGCAAACTGTATGTTGAGATCTCTTCAACAAAGCAAAATCGACTCTCAACATTGTTTAGTCACACAACACATTATGTCAAAACAAGAAAAAAACCTCCCAGCCTTTGATCGATAAGCAGTTTGTTTCAAAGTAACACAAAGTTCATTCTATAGCTGACATTGACTGGATTGGACCTACACGGGAGAAAGATTACTAATAACTACCTATTCCTAACTGTGATGCAGTACCGGTACCCAGAGAACTGATCGTAACACTAGGACCTAAGAAATGAATGGTGGATACTCCTGAAAACCTTAATGAATGAAGGCGAGGCCTGGGTCCGCACCCTTGAAAATCCACTCAATTGAAAGTCGAATTTCGTCCGTTTGAATCCCACACCAATCCTCCCAGTAGTCGATCAATAATTATTCATTACACGACATCTACTGTAAGGACTGCTTATGAAATAATTCCGATCGCAGTTGGGAGGGTTACGGTGTGGACGTTTTGTTGTATAAACTATATGTATGGGTGACACTTTCAATCAAGACCGTTATTGCCTCAAAGGAACACCATAGCCTTCAAGAACCATTACATGACCGAATGGTTCCTACCATCTGAATGTCGGAGTAATGTAAATATTTGATAAATCATATGTTAGCACTTTATTGAGCAAATATAACCACAAAGGTTCACGATAATCATAGGAACGGGGAAAAAATCACAGAAAAATTATCGATTGCTCCGGTCAGTGGAGAATCGACCTGGGACAACCACCTCCATAGTGTGCCAAGAGAGAAATTCTGCTCGCTAACGACGCTAGAACGGTAAAAGCATGTAGATCGCATGCCGTTCAGGACCGACCGTCTACAGTAACCTCGCTTGTAAAGCTTCAATGACTGCTGTTCTTCAGCTGTAGTGCGATGTGTGTCACCTAAATACCAGTTGAAAGCGGTAACATTGATTGGTTGTAGAGTAAGAAACCTGTTGTTCCCTCGTACTCTAGTCGCCACTGAGAAAAAACTCCTCCGAAAAAAAAACCTCATCGATAACGCAGCAAGCAGCTGGCCGCAGACTGCAGGCGGCAGTTTTTCTGCAAGGTTTTATTTACAGCCGGCCCGGAGGTGACCTCCGGCATGTTATGACCCGGAGATCTAGAATACTGATGACTAAGACGTTTTTATAGAAAAAGCAGTCAGTAAAAACCACAAAAAAAGAGCATTTAGGTCAGATTTTTCAGAAGTTCCCGAACTATTACGGGCTATACCCAAAAGACATTTCAAGAGGAAGTGGGTGGATCACACCTCTACCATGATCTCCATTACTTACAAGTTAAGTTCGGCCTAAAGCCTTCCCCTTCCTCATAGAGACCACGGAACCCGATACCATGCCAACCATGCTATGTCAGCCAGCCAAACTTGTTCAAGATTTTGCCAGGGATGACAAAACACTCATAGAAAACCCGATAGGCCCCTCAACTAGTTTGATGCCCCTTATACAAAAAGGTATGTCCCCATGATTCTTAGGGCACGGCACATTCCAACGTCATTGAATAGTGTCAATCGCTTTTTTTCTATCAACCTTTGGGACCATCTATTGAATTATGATTCATCAAGAGGCCTTTTTATGTGCCTCTACCATTTTTTTGCCCATCCTACGCCTGCTCGTTGATCCCCTCTCGCCTCGCTCTCCTCCACATCAAAAAAGAAACCTGGAATTTGAACTTTGAACTGTATCCCCCTTGGAATCAGATTCCTCTGCTATACTCGGTTCTCATCGAATGCCAGCACCTTTCTCTTGCTCCCATAGATTTATCAGCTGCTTTATTACTCGATTTTCTTATGTATGACAACTTTTCGTGATATCTATGAAACGCCTACAGTATTCCTACTCCTAAAAATTCCAGGCATCTTCCGTAAAGGGAACTACCCAGATTTTGAGCATTCTGAATGATGAACCTCCCTAAATTATGTACACCATCACATCCTTTTTTTCCTACTGCTCATCAGCTTCAAAGCGGACACGTAAAGTGGGTGGTTGGCTGGCTTCGGCTGAAAGGCACTGATTCAGCCGACGAGCTGACTAATGGCTATTACACCAACGAACGGATTTTTCCTTTCCTACGGTATGTATTGAACGTTTCAATGGAGATAGTCTACAATCTGGTATCTTTACTAGTAGTCAGTACTTGAATGCAATAGCTCCATTGGCTTAGTGATCAGTTATGAAGCCCGGTAGGAGTGACTTAAGCTGTAGTATTAGTGGCTCGTGCTTGATTGAGCATGAGCCCATTCTACTTCCAAGCTACCAATTGACTAGGCTACTAGTTAACTGAAGGTTCACTGAGACCAATTAGAAATACGATAGAGGATAAAGAACCTCAACCTTTTTCTTGTAACAGAGAGCCTTACCGGATAGACGAAGTGGAGTACATTTGAGCTCTGTAAACGATAGCTGTAACCTAGTCTCAGTAGCTTTCTTCTGAAAACAAATAAAGCGACTCTTGTCTAATGAAGTTCAAATAAAACATCAAGTGTCATTACCATGCAGTAACCAGTTACAAGTCATTTCAGAAGGAAGTGGACAAAGTCATAGTAGATTATAACTCATGAACAGACGAAGTAGGATAAATGTTATGAACAATAAAATCATAACATTTAAAACTACCTCAGCTGTGCACTGAGCCCAGCTCTACACAAGGCATGTGGAGTGACGGGAGGTTGGTGGGTTGGGTGAGGAACGTCAGGGTTCACTGACGGGGCTATCGAAAGACCCGAACGGTGAGTGCTTGGGCGGAAGGAATGTGATGTGAAAGGGTGGGGGAGCGGCTGGAAATCACAGCACTCGGGATTTGGGCTGACGGCGAATGCCTACGTGTGCGAGGCGGCCGGACCCGCAGACGGGACGTTTTTTTGTAAGAACAATCGATAGGCTGGTGAGAAAAAGGACAAATCGCTCAGCAAATTAATGCTTTAGTGTATTGCTATAGTAAATTTACTTTGTATAGTGATACTAGATGATTCTATGTATATCAGTGGATAGACCACACACGGTGATCAAAATATGATCAAATTTACTAACTTACGTGAAAAATTGACGTGTTCCGTTGGAATTTTCTGTGCATTTTATGGTGGCTAGCCCCTGAAAGTGAATACGGTCAACAGGGCACATTCAGCACATAGAAAACCTGAAGTGTTTGATGGAATTTCGTAATTTACATTCTTTCAGCAGTCTGTGCCCAGGCGACGAGGGATATTGATCGGGGTACAGACGCAGAAAGGATGCAAGCATGCACCGATCGAAACGGAAGCAAAACGAAACCTTCCAAAAGTGATCTAAATCGATGCAAAATCCATCTCTACATGTTTAAGTGATGACGATTTCTAAAAACGAAGGACGTACGCTTAAAACACGCCCTATGTAAACTTTTGGGGAATTTTCGAGCAAAAACTGGAGAAAACCTTTGAAACTTGTTCGGATGAAGGAAGCTCCGTGAAAGTTGTACAAAATACGATTCAACAGGGATCTCCCGTTTTTTTNTTTTTTTATAGACTCCACCCAGAGGGGATAAACATGTTGACCTGTCATTGAAGGAGGACCCCGGGTGAACCTAGGAAAGTGGGATTCAAGAATTTCACTTGGCCTATCGGCCAGGATCCGCGAAGACATATGCAGCTGGCGAGTCGACGGTTTTTCGGTATGAGGAGACAAATGTGAACGGGCGATTACGGTAGGTGCGGCTGCTTAGCGCTGACCAATGAGAACGATGGGCTCCGCCTTCGATAGAACCATCACGTCGAAACCAAGTAGAATGTATCGATGGGGAATGAAGAGTGACCCACCCGGATAGATGATGAAATGGTTTCCTCGAATATCCGACAAAATCCCACAACGCTGAACTTCTAAACCATCAGCTTTTTCACTTTGGAATTGTAATAAAGAAAGTTAAATTAGGGACTGATCAGTCAACGCTCCCGATCGACGATCGGAGCGTCAGTGGGCTGATTCGATCCCTTTTAGGTATAGAATTCCCGATAAACTAAAGATTCCGAGCAGTCCGTAAGGGAACGCGGCATCGGCCTGCTACTGCTTAAGACCTTTTCCACTGCCAAGTAAATGTGATGAAAGCCATAGCAGAGTCTGAGAACACTTTAACTCACTTTTCCTATGAAGTTTGCATAATTACAGAAGAGGCCAGCTATTGAGCGGCGAAGAGCCGAACAATGAGTGACTCTGGAAGTACTGGGCTGTCGGATGGCACCAAGACCTAGGGAGGAGTGGTGGTGTGGCGAGGGAATGCGGTAGATGATGAATGCGCGAAGAGAGCCAGAGAAAGAGAGTGAGAGCAAAAACTGGTAATCTGAGCAGCAGCCATCTGTACTCGCAATGTCCTTTGGGTTCACGCGCGCGCGCGTCTGCGTGCGGTTGTGTGCGCGCTCGCCGCACTGCAACGCAATGTGGCGTGCTTGGACGCGGTAAAAGCACGTAAGACGAAGTCGATATAGTGAACACAATGCTTTTGAATGATGACTGTTCAGCCACGATCTTAACGCTCTATCGATAAGCACAGGTGGGACGAGGCGTGAGGGCTCTCCAGAAAGTGCTCGCAATGGTCCCGCTGACATCACTGTTGTTGACGGTGCCAAGTTCGATCTCATTGAGGAATTAAAAGCGAAAAGGCCTCACCTGACTTTCTCAAAGTGAATTGCTGTGCTGGTTAAACCTGGATAGAGCTAAAAGTGATTTGAAGAAGACGGAAAGAACAGTTGTCGATTAACACGGTTGAAGTTGATGGAGTGCTTCGCTGCAAATGGGGAGGTGCTCTCTAGGAGAGCTGTTATATTCGGGAAGAGTTTTCTCCTCATCCACTGCTCTCAGCAGGATTTTTCCAAATGTCAATATGGAGTCTCGTGGACAGAAGTCTGAGTAATATCCAGAGCAGGAGTAGAAGCAGCAGCCACAGACAGCAGCGTATATTCATTTGAGGTTCATGCACAAGTGCAGCTGGGGTTCGAACGGGGCAGTGCCGGGCCGTAACAGAGAGAGTGCATCCAAAGAACGCCGTCCGCACGTCCTCGCAGCCAGCCAGTCAGCCAGTCAGCCAGCCAGCCGGCCGGCCAGCCACCCGCGCCCGTCGTCTCCGCCCGTCGTCCTGCCTCCGTCGTCGCCGCGGCGGCCGCCATCAGGCGGCTCAGCACGTCGTCATCGTCGCGTTCGCCATCGTCGTGCCGACGTCCGCTCCGTTCGCCTCCATCGTTCTTTCGCGTTCGTCTGCCCCATCGCGCGTTGTCGAGGGGGTGGAGGAGACCGGCGGCGTTCGCGAGGCGCACTTTTCTCGCTCTCACTTGTCCTCCATCTTTATGTCTCTCACGTTCGCTTACTGTTCCACTGCCCTGAACGCCCCCCATCCTTCGTGCCGAAGCGCACAAAAACCGTCTCGGCACAAATTGAACGCCGACGTGAATACGTCTTCACATTCCGATCCGACAGAGGCGATCTGGTAGCGCCGCCTGCTGCTGCTAATAGCCAGTCGGCTGCAATGGAAACAGAAAATTCTTTCAAGCAGCATGCAAAGTTCGGCTACGCAGATCGATGACAGACAGAGAACAGCCTCACAAGTGTAGCGATCCGAAATAGAAATGGTCTTTCCCCTGTGCCGACTGTAATCACGTGAGAAAAGGACACAAAGTACATTTTCTGCGAAAACTGGACGCTATGAACTTCTGCGACAATCCCATTGCAAATGTGTGTGATTGATTAAGAGATTACTTAGTGCTTATACTACTTACTTCAATTACAAGTTCAGACATTAAAAGTAATGAAAATAAACCAGTTCATCTACAAGAGAATAACTTAACCTCAATATCAACAACAACTTGAGAAATAATCATTATTAATGTCATGAACACATTCATTATGTTTCCTTTTATTCTTATTTCGTTTTGGTAGAGTAGAAAGTATCAGAATGCATTAAGTAACTACGAACTTAGATTTGATATTTTGTTAGTAATTGAATGTAACTAGTAGTATCATGCAGCGTCTGCTACTTAAAGCGGATTACACTATTGAATTATCTTCTTGTACTTCATCCCTTTTCTCTAGAATATTCTAACTGATCCCTGAAGATTTTTAAGATCCACNAATTCGATAGAAAATAATTTTCTGAGAAAGGATTCTACGTTAAGCGATGGATGGGCGTGAACATAAGCCCGGCAGGCTCAATGCACCTAAGGATCGAGGGCTCTGCTAGCAGGGATCTGCAGCAAAGAATGCAAAATGTCCAAGACACATTCTCCCTTGACTATTCACCAACAAAAAATGCCACCCAAGTTTCGAAATATTATTGTTTTTGATGACTCAACTGCTATACTCACCTATTACTCAGCATTCGATGAATAAGACATTTTTTCAATTGAATTGAATTGAACTGAATCGAGTTCAGACAGAACAAAGCAGCAAAAGGACAACGAGGTAATCGATAACGAATGCTTTTAACTAAACATACTGAAAGAAGAACAGAAATTCAAGCATAAGCCACATGATGGAGTCCAAAGGGGATCACTGATCCGTGCCACTAATGTAATGAACCGTCTGATGGGCTCAGTTTCCGGCTGACCTTATGTATCCATCAGAAAAGTGCAAATATGGTTCAGCTCAGGCGGCACCATGCTCTCTAGCCCTGTAAAGAACCCTACTAACCAGCACCACTTAGTACCTTCCCGTACCGACCGCACATGGATCAAAGTTGCTCAGGAATAGGGAACTAATTATTGATTGGTTAAACCAATGATGAACATCCTAGCCGTCCTGTGTGGCACTTCTCGATACAGTTGATTTCAGAAAACCTCCTGAATCACTGAAGGAAGGATTTAGTCAACGTGANTAACCAGCACCACTTAGTACCTTCCCGTACCGACCGCACATGGATCAAAGTTGCTCAGGAATAGGGAACTAATTATTGATTGATGAAACCATTTGATGAACATCCTAGCCGTCCTGTCTGGCACTTCTCGATACAGATGATTTCAGAAAACCTCCTGAATCACTGAAGGAAGGATTTAGTCAACGTGAGTCAACTCATTCCATACCCGTGCGGTAGACGTAAAGTTTACCGTATAGTTGCGGATCCCGAAACGACAAGTACTGTTGCGTTCCTTGCCGAAGTCTGGTTGGTGGCCATACATGGCTACCCAATGACCGCTTAATTCCTCCAGCACCTACTCGAACCTATTGTTTTAACTAACAAACTCAAACCGAAGCTTACAACCTTTTATATTTTTTCCCTCTTTTTGACAATAATAGGGGAATCCTCGGGTTGAATCCGGCCTACTGCAACAGCATAGAGGGGCTACTACAATATTTCAACTACGTTACCAACAAAAAAAAAACAAAATTTACAACCTCGGGTTTTTTCTAAGAACTTCAAAGTTCCTGGAGATTCAACAGTACAATATCGCAGGGACAGTTTTCGAGAGTTTTAACTCAATCGGATTTCCAACTCAATGATGCCTGAAAGCTGGTGCAGTTATGCTTGATGTTCGGCTGAAGATTATTCAAAATACGCTTCTGGATTCGATCGCGCCATGTACTGAACGCAGTTCGGTAAGAGGCTCCAATTGGGCTGTCTATCAAATCGTGTATTCCGCATCCTTTCTCANGATCATTGAATTTCTGAAATTTAGAACTAACAGGTATGAGGCGTTCGACAGGCGATAACTAATTTTTGGTTTTCAGCAGACGCCACTTACTCGATTTCAGGCCAGGATTTCGAGAACTTCTGAATTTGCGTCTAACCTTAACAATGATAGGTATGGACACTCGCCGGTATACCGTCTCCACTCGGATGGCTCTGTAAAAAAAAACAGGAAAAAACGGAAACAGAACCTTCTAGGACATGTGGACCTTTCTTTCCTTGAGTTTGGTCAATTGGTTCCAAATTGGCAGAATGGAAACAGAGGCCCCCAATCTCTGAATACTTCCATTCATGAAAGCGTTGACTATCAATTCCTTTTGCTATTTAATTTTACGGGAGAATAATGGAGAGGAAAACATGGTGGCCTAGCCTTGCCCTTATGTGAAGCACAGATTGAAATCAGAGACAATGCATATTTATCTATTTATTTATTCATGTTGCAACCTTGCGCCTTTCATAGGGACCATTCGAGATCCGAATCAGGAGAGGACATGACGATGTTTCTCGCGACGAAAGAGGTAAGAATAGGTGACGAACCAGTCCTTTTACATCTGGGTTAACTATACTGTGTAGAGAGAGTAATAGTAATGTAACCAGTAATATCGTAATTTTGCCAGTCAAATGGACTCCTAACACATAATGGCGAACTCTTTACTGTCCAAGCATTTAGAATCGATCCCTAAAGTATCTACACAAGAGTATACGCCACGTCTTCATTGATCGTTGCGAATCGCAAGCAGTCATCGATAGGGTCTGCTCACTTTACAATTTAGTCGTTGCAGACGGTTTTTTTGTTGTTCGGTGTTCTCCTTGAAAAGCAAAACAAATGAGTCTGCGATCTTAAAGACTCATTGTTAGATCCAAGGTCGATGTCAACCCGGAAAAAAAGTACCATCTAGGCGCGGACCGAAGAATTGCCGACGGTTTCGTGCAGGAAAAAAGTGACGACCAAGCCCTCTTTACATCACCGTAGCACCAATGAGCATGTGAAATGGAGGTCCGATTCAGAAACCGACGCTGTCTATCATCGTTGAATGACTATTTTGGTGGAACGACTCATCTTTTATCGAGAAAATGAGAATGCACTAGTGTACAGTACAGGGAAACCATTTGGGTTAAGAAGTAGAACGCAACAAATTGGAGAATTGAACCCACTCGAGACAGTGGAAACATCGTCCTTGTCTGCTATTGAACCAGGGTTGTTCAAAAATTATCTAGTCTGGAAACAATTACTTGTAAGTAACGAGCATCTACTCAATGTGATGTGATGGCCGCCAAGTCCTTAAAGCTACATAATGTTCATATGAACTGGAAGTAAACAGTAAGTTTTACAAGTGGGAGTTTTTGACTTACTCTGGTAATTAGAGTCCAGCTTTTCAACATGGACCCAGTCTGCCCTTTTACCTGGATGGTCAGTAATCCCGCGTTCGGGGTCTTGGCAAGCCTCTATAAACTCCCATGCAACGAAGGAAATGAAACTTAGCTGCCTGCTGAAGTCATCACGGTACTACTCTCTTGGGGTACAGGAAAAACAGTACTCGGAACTCTTTCGTAACTGAACCACTTCAATTTACAAGCTGTGCTCTACCATCGATCAACAATGCTTTGATCTGGGACCGTTACGCTCGTTCCATTTTCCACAAACATCGTCCTGAATCAATGAATGGTCTCCACTCACTTAATGCAATCTACCTTTAACAGTCCCTTAAGTTATTGTTATCTACAGAAGCTCAGCAATTGGTATTGTATTTGTATTGTATACCTATGTCGCTCCGAAC